AAGAACACTGGAGTGGGTAGCCATGCCCTTCTCCAGGGGGTCTTCCCAACCCAGGGATCGAACTTGGGTCTCCTGCATTGTAGGCAGATTCTTTACCATCTGAGCCACATTTTTAAAAAACACTCACAATATGGAAGTGGTGAGCAAAGAAAAGTTGAATCTAACTGCATTAAGATAGATGATAACCAAAATAATGCTTTAAAAAAATCGTTTTTAAAGCAAAAAATGTATCTCTCATGTCATCTGTCATTAAGAAAAATATGAACTACAATTTCCTAGTTAAATAAAAGAAGAACCTAGAAAAACAATGAAATACTTTATAAGTATTGAAGACTGCATGTAAACACAGCTTCAAAATGAGTAGTAGGGGTAAAAAACCATTTATGAATGTATGTTCTCTTCTAGACCATGATTTTATTTAATTTACTTTGGTAATTCCAGATGAAGACTCTAACACAGTTTCTGGATTGATCTCTTAAAGTCAAACATATTCTAAGTCTGTAAAACTTGTCTAGTGATACTGTCAGAAATAATATATTTAAGAAACAGAGCAAGAAAATACTACTACAGGACAAAGAATTTAGACTTCACTGCAAATAAAGCCATATTTGATATTATAGACACATGTTCCTATTTTCACATTAGTCACTTATTAACACCAAACATTACACTTTAACTTTTCCCAGTTACACAGTACAATAAGCCTGTCAAGATTTCCAGGAAATAACCATCAGTACCTACTGTGCTTCCAGCAACCAAAGCTAAGCTGGTTGGTACCAGAAATCAGCACTTTCAGAATGGCATCACTAGACCACACGGACTCAGAGCAACTATTACCAGGAGCATTTACTCATTTACAAAGTCCTAAATCAGTCTTGAACTGAGGCTCTGAGATTCTAGCCATGATGTGCCACCATCTCAGAGCAGCACGTGATCCTCCACCACTGCTGTTCATTCTGTGCTAAAATCTCAGTTTCTGGAGACAGCGAAGTCAATACCTGCAGGTGATAATGGGCCCTGCTTTTGCCAACTGGTTGTGTGGGGGGGGGTCAGTATCCTGGCTCACATGGCCCTTGCTGCCTTCGGCCAAATCTCTCCTCAAATACCTGTCTGAGAAGGACACCTACTTTCATTTCCTTCTGTCAGGTTGAATATTTAGGGAGCTGCATGAATAACACTGTTTAAACACACCACTGTTTTTCAGCTAAGAGAACGGTAGGCATAGTTTAAAATCTGAATTTGTTAACTGGAGAAATTCACTGAGGGCCAGTTGAGAAGGTTTTCCGCTAACTGTCAAATGAAAATGATTGGGGAAAAAAGAAAATGATTGGACAACTGTTTTCTTCTGTTCTGCTTTTATGACAATAGTCATCACACTAGTAGGATAAACATTCAAAATACATGACAGGATGTATCCTAATTAATTAAGCACCAGAGTGACTTTATATGTATATACATGTGCATATATATACGTGTGTGTATGTAGCCTGCCAGGCTCCTCTGTCCATGGCATCCTCCAGGCAAGAATCCTGGAGAGGGTTGCCATTCCCTTCTCCAAGGGATCTTCCCAACCCAGGGATCAAACTTGGGTCTCCCGCATTGCAGGCATATTCTTTACAGTCTAAGCCACCAGGGAAGCCCTATATATATAGTTACTGGTAAAAGTAAGTAAATGCTCTAATTTGAAAAATTAAAATCAAATATGAGAGCTAGATCTAGTAACATGCTGAGGTTAAATTTCAGTTCTTTTTGCTAGCTACCTATTGTTAATCTAGCACTCAATTAGAATCAATGCTCAGATTTTAAGGGCAGATAAATCAGTAATTAGCCTTTTTCCTACAAAGGAGAGTGGCACCTTCAAAAGCTTTAATAATCCCAATGATATAATTTAGTGAAGGGCAGGAAAAAAAAAATATTTGTGGCAAAGATATGTGCAAAAATTACTTTCTCCTAGAATTTAAAATCTCCTCAAACATTTCATATAACACAGGTTACACTTCCCTGCTGGCAGACAATATCTGAGAATCAGTAAAAAATTCTTTGAAACTTTCAAAATACATGAATAAAAGCAAAGATCCTAGGCAAGATTATAATAACCTAGTTATTATAGTTCAATGCATACATAATATGGATGTCAAATTGAATTTTAAAGATACAGTAAACTCATTCTTTCTTGATAATTACCTTTCATACATTTAAACTACGTAGCTTTTAAGATGAAAACTTTTTAAAGAAACCATAGGCTTCCAACCTAAAGATTCTAGCATAAGTTTCAACAAATAAAATTTTTAAAAAGTGATGAAATTTATGAAATACTGTACTATAGGGTTAAAACAGTGATGCTACATCAATAAAAATACTTCAGTAAGGTACCTAATGGTCTAAAGAGCAGAGCCATCTCCCAAAGTCCACTCTGCTTCTCTCACCCCCTAGCCCTCAGGGATTGTGCTATTACTTACTCTTTCAGGATGTGTTTTGAAGGCCCTTACAGTTCCCTTTTAATACTTTACATCACAACTTATTCTTAGCACAGGTTCTCCAATCGAGAGAGAGATTTCACTGCACACTTTACGGCCATAAGGCATAGCCCTTATTTTGAAACTTCTGGGGGAATTCTGATAATGAAATTTCAAGATGATATGACTATTTATAAAGAGCTTCCCTATCTAGAAATGGCTTCACTCTTTAGAGAACATACCCATTTCCTTGGTCGTAAGTGAGACGTCATGAACTACAACTTTTGAGCAGTCAGGGGCTCATAAAGGACGTGACTGCAGCATGCACAAGGCTGGGTGAGCAGTGTGATGTGGCTGTCAGCAGGTGCCAAGCAACCCCATGCTACTGAGGTTGTTGGGTCAGACTCATTCATAATAAGCAATGAGAATCACTGGGCAAACCAGTGCTTACAAAGGAGATGAATTCAGAGTATGGTGGGCCTTGCACCTTTCTGATAAACTTCTCCCTGATCCCAGGTTATTCTCCCATGATCTTTTAATCAATGATGATTGTGCTTTTATGCACATAAAGTCTTCATGGGAGAGACCACGCTGATTGGAAAATAACAAGCAAACCATTTACCCCAACTGAGCTACTTTACAATTGCAGAAACGTATTACAGAGCAGTCACAAAATCAAGCCATGAATGCAAGGAATGGAAAAAAAACATGCCCGGGAGCTGGTCCCTACAATTTTCAAGATGCTTCATCCTCCCAACTGCATTCTTTGTCCTAATGAGTGAAAACAGTAAGATTATTCAATCTGAAAAGTCGCAGATGTCACAGCGGTAAGGAATAATTGCCTTTTTTTTTTCTTTACAGTGTAGGAAAAGCTTCTTTTCTGTAGCCTACACTACATAATAGCACTTCAACCAGGTTCCTTTTAAAATGAAAAGTGAACAACTTTCCCAATGTCGGCCTTATAAAATCTAAAGAGATGATTAAATTCAAACCAGGCTGAGCTCTCAATCTGAGTTATTTCAGCCACTGATTTTTATAAAATGAAGGGGGAAAAAAAATCCCAACAGGCAATTTACATTTGCAAGCACCAGGCTACAGAATTCATCACCTTTTTCTTAAAAATGTAGCTAAACCTTAATGGAATCATAATACTTTCATAAGGTTAATCGTCAGTCATCCCTAGTCATATCTTGTTCCTCTTTCCATTTTTACCATTTCAAATATTTCACTATTGCCTACCACAAACCATTGAAGATGATCATTTATGTTTATTCCACTTATTTCTCCAATGAGTCAGCTGATTTTTGACCAAGAGCTCTAAGTACCATTTGAAAAGTCACGTCTTTAAAAACCTTCCATGTTTTAAACACTTGGTTAGAAAAAAGATAACAACTACTGGTACAAGCTTATGTGCTTTATGGTGTCTTTTCAAAATGAGAATATAAATCATTGTACATCAAATCAAAATAGTTAATATATATTTTATCTGGCACTTTCTAGAAATTAGGCATTAAACATAAAATACCTTATAAATTTATATAACAAAAATAAATGTTTATATTTTAATCTCAGATAGATTACCTTAGGGGAGCAGTTCATATATGAACTCCTGCACCGTCAGTGTGGCAGCGGAGATCATCAGAAATACACATTCAAGTCCACAGCCCTTGGGAAGAGATGGATGCAGGGGCTGCCACCCAAACACGTGGTCTGTGTCCCAATGGGGAGATTAAGGCTCTCTGTTTTGGAAGAATGAGCTGGACTAAAACAAGTATAGAAGTACCATGATATTCTTTGAAAATACTGAAAAGACTGAAGAGTTTCAAACACTGGGGGGAAAAACCATGTTGACGATAAAAATAAAATAAAGCATCTAACAATGACTTCAAGTACTTTGGAAGAGGCTACTGACATGGAGTGCCCAAATCAGAAGGAATGAAGAGCTAGGAAACCCAAGGGGCGTCCCCACTGGTTGGAGGCTCGGGTTCCCAGGTGCAGCTCTTTGAAGGGGCTGGGGAGCAGACCGGAAATAGCAACCACAATTTCTCAGCAACGGAAAACACCCACTTGAAGGCAAAGGCCCAGCCTGGTGGGAGAAAATCCTTGGAATGAGCCATTATGAATCGGAAGATGTCAAAGAGAAAAATGCCACTCATCTTACTATCAGTAGCAGGCAGCGAAGAGGAGAGAGGGAGAGAAACCCAGCTCCTGTGAATGGCAGTGTTTCAGGCAGATGAGCTGCGGTTTTTGAATGTCATTCTTTCTCACCGCGTGGCTTTCTTCATGGAGAGGGTGAGACGGCTGACAGCCGGGATCCTTCCAGAGGGTGTGGGTGCTTGACACAGGCGTGCCTGGGTCTGCTAGGGCCCTGGCAGCAGGGGGCCTCCCTCATTTCTCCCCAAACTGAGAAGCAGTCCTGGCATCTCCGATCGGCTTCCCTTTCCTAAAGCAGCATATGAAGTGTGGCTGACGTCGCTTCTTGTCTTCTGCAGCAGCCCTGGCTTTGCCGGCTGGTCCTAGACTAGCTGGGTCCTTTCCAGGCTGCTAGAGCCTGGTGATATCTCGGCATTGCTGCTGCAAGTCCCCGATGCTCTCGTAATCATTCTCCTTTGGGCAAAGGCCATGGTGACTGTTGGTCTCTGAGGCAGCCTTCTCTTCCTCTCTGTTTAGAGTCTGTATTGCTTCATAATCTGGCTCAGGCTCCTCGCTGGGCCTGCCTGCTGCTGGAAGTGTGCTGACACTATTCGGCATCTTCTCAAAGTCTTTAACAGTGGCATAGAGATCGTTACAGGAAGAGGGGGACCTCGGAGCAGCTCCTTGCATGGAGGTGTAGGAGGCCTCGGGTACTTTAAGTGACTGTCCTGATTTGTTCCCTGGCTGTCCTTTTTTATGCACTGATGAATACATGGCCGAGATCTAGAAAACAAAGGGGAAAGTGAATAAACAACCTTCAAGCCTGATTTCTCCCTCCACCTTTTAGTGACAAGCTAGATTCTTGGGACTATGGGGGTGTGTGTCCCTTTAAGAATTTTTTTCTGATTCCCAAACTTTACAGAGATATTATTCACACACAATACATGTAAGTTTAAGGTGTGCAGCATGATGATTTGATACATATATCGTGAAATGATTATCACAATAAAGGTAGTTAACAACTTCTTTACTGTAATTACCATATTTTTGGTGTGTGGTGATAACATTTAAGCTCTATTCTCTTACGAGTATATACACAGTATTGTTAGTTCTAGCCACCATGCTGTATTATATTTCCAGAACTTATTATAGATGGAAGTTTGACCCTTTGACCAACATCTCCCTATTTCTCCCAGGCCTCAGCATGAGGCAACCACCATTCTACTCTATTTTCTGCTTGGCTTTTCTAGATTTCATATCTATGTGAGAATACACAGTATTTGTCTTTCTCTATCTGACTCATTTCACTTACCACAATGCCCTCAAGATCCATCTATGCTGTTGCAAATGGCAAGATTTTCTTCTTTTTTATGGATGAATAATATTCCATTATGTGTACAAGCATGTGTGTGTGTGTGTAATTACATTTTCTTTATCCATTCATCTGTTGATAGGTTGTTTTCATGACTTAGCTATCGTGAATAATGCTGCAATAAACAGGGAAGTACAGCTATCTCTTGTAGGTAGTGTTTTCATTTCTTTTGAATATACACCCAGAAGCCGATTCTTTACAATCTATGCTAACCCTGGTGTACATAACAACAGAACAATTATATGTGGCGTCTATAACTTTGTAAGTAGCATAATTCTATGAAATCCAGGTTCTCTCTAGGTCTGCTGAGGATTTGAGGAAAGCAGGTAGAGTGGGCAGCTCAAGACCCCCAGGACCTGACCTCAGCATCGGGTTTTATTCGATTTCTTTATCACAATGATATTTCACCTGAGGAAAGTTTTGACTGCTTTACAAAAAAGGGTAGAAAACATATATCATACTGGTGATACTCAAAAGGCTGGGCTTCAAGTCAGCAGCAGCAGGATCTGGACATTTTTTGGAAAGGCAAACCCTGGGGCCCCACCCCAGATCCACTGAGTCACAAACTCTGGGGGTGGGTTGATTCTGATGTCTACTAAGTTCGAAAACCACTGAACCAGACTGTTTAATCCACTCCTCCGGCATCACAAAGGTCTAAACAATAGCTTCTGGATGCTGGTTGGCAGTATACATATATCTGTCAGAGGATCACTTTCCACTATTTTTTTTTCTGATTTTATTAATTTTATTGAAGGATAATTGCTTTACAGAATTTTGTTGTTTTCTGCCAAATATCAACATGAATCAGCCATAGGTATACCTCTCCCTCTTGAACCTCCCTCCCATCTTGCTTACCATCCCTCCCCTCCATTATTTTTTAAATTAATACTTCATTGCATACTAAGTGAAGTCCCTCAGTCTCATCCGACTCTCTGTGACCCCACGGACTGTAGCCCACCAGGCTCCTCTGTCCATGGGATTTTCCAGGCAAGAATACTGGAGTGGGTTGCCCTTTCCTTCTCCAGGAGATCTTCCCGCCCAGGGATTGAACCTGGTTTTCCTGCATTGTAGGCAGATGCATTACCATCTGAGCCACCAGGGAAGTCTATTGGTTAAATAGACATTCAGAGATCAGGGAAGTCTATTGGTTAAATAGACATTCAGAGATGGGGCTAAGTTTTCTTCAGTAGGAAAATTCTTCTTATATGAAATCAACACAGAAATGATATTGGGAGACAATCAACTTAGGGGATGGGCTTCCCAGGTGTCTCAGTAGTGAAGAACTTGCCTGCCAGTGCAGGAGATGCAGGAGACATGGGTTCAAACCCTGGGTCAGGAAGATTCCCTGGAGAAGGAAATGGCAACCCACTCCAGTATTCATGCCTGGGAAATCCCATGGACAGAGGAGCCTGGTGGGCTACAGTTCATGGGGTCGCAGAGAGTCAGACACGACTGCACCTCTCATGCACCAAAGTCAAAAACTTAGAGGACACTCTTTCCTTTGGGAAGAACAGACTGTTTTCCAAGCAAACCCACTCAGTCTCACTAATATACCTCATCTCACCACAAATACGGAAGGCAGGGGGAGAAGGGGATAACAGATGACATGGTTGGATGGCATCACCGACTCGATGGACATGAGTTTGCGCAAACTCCGGGAGACGAAGGACAGGGAAGCCTGGCGTGCTGCAGTCCATGGGGTTGCAAAGAGTCAAACATAACTGAGCAACTGAACAACAACAACAAAGCCACAAATATCGGGAGAGGTTTCATTTTGATACAAAAATGGACTGACTAGGAAATTTGGGAGGGAGGGTATTGATTTATTGTTAGAAATCATGGTTGGAAACAAGTAAAAATATCTCATTACCTGCAGTTATCTATGCCACAGCGATTGATGTATTAAAACACCCAGGAAATAAGGGAACATACTTTCTGACAGATGCTTGGCTTTGCAAGTGAAGAGGGAGATGTCCTACTCTCACATATCCACATGCTGGGCAGAAAGCTTCCAGCTGGCCTCCAAAGCTTCTTAAGACACGCCTGGTGCACGCTAACTGCCATTTGCATGAGAACTTTCCCTACAGGCTGGTGGCTGGCATTTCCCAGGCCTTGACAATCCAAAGGGTTTGAATCAGAGAAATAATGTTTGTGAAACTCCTGCCCTGTTGATTTAACCATTTTCATGCATATTAAATTAACATTCTCACCTGAGGGGTTTTAACTAAAAAATTCCTTTCAAAATGAGGAATTAAGAGTATCTTTCCATTTCAGAAGAATAAAAAACAAGGCCTCTTCTTTTTGTAGCAAGTTGCCAACATATGAAACTCTTTATTTAAAAGGTTCAGTTCAGTTCAGTTGCTCAGTCATGTCTGACTCTTTGCGACCCCATGAATCGCAGCACGCCAGGCCTCCCTGTCCATCACAAACTCCCAGAGTTTACTCAGACTCACGCCCATCGAGTCGGTGATGCCATCCAGCCATCTCATCCCCTGTTGTCCCCTTCTCCTCCAGCCCCTAATCCCTCCCAGCATCAGGGTCTTTTCCAATGAGTCAACTCTTCGTATCAGGTGGCCAAAGTACTGGAGTTTCAGCTTCAGCATCAGTCCTTCCAATGAACACCCAGGACTGATCTCCTTTAGAATGGACTGGTTGGATCTCCTTGCAGTCCAAGGGACTCTCAAGAGTCTTCTCCAACACCACAGTTCAAAAGCATCAATTTTTCAACCCTCAGCTTTCTTCACAGTCCAACTCTCACATCCATATATGACCACTGGAAAAACCATAGCCTTGACTAGACAGACCTTTGTTGGCAAAGTAATGTCTCTGCTTTTTAATATGCTGTCTAGGTTGGTCATAACTTTCCTTCCAAGGAGTAAGCGTCTTTTAATTTCATGGCTGCAATCACCATCTGCAGTGATTTTGGAGCCCCCCAAAATAAAGTCTGACACTGTTTAAAAGGTGGGCCAAGCCAAAAATATGGACAGATTATAAAGGGGTGAGTCATGCATGATAGGGCTTCCCTGGTGGCTCAGAGGATAAAGAATCTGCTTGCAATGCAGGAGACCAGGGTTCGATCCCTGGGTTGGGAAGATCCCCTGGAGGAGGAGGAAATGGCAACCCACTCCATTATTCTTGCCTGGAGAATCCCATCAACAGAGGAGGCTGGCAGGCTACGGTCCATGGGTCACAAAGAGTTGGACAGGACTGAGCCACTAAGCATGCATGCATGTATAGTGATGAAGGGAGCTGGTGTCCTGGATATTTGTTCATCACCTTCAGCGGTAACATCAGAAAGACAAACACAACTCTATCTGTGAGAGTAACAGTGAGAGCCGGGCCCCCACCACCATTTCTGTTTCTCTTCCTCCTTTCTTCCCCGTGGTTCTGTCATGATGGCCTCCACTCTTTGTAAGTACTTGGGCCTTCTTGGCTTTTACAGTCTTTTCTTTTTTAAATTGCAGGCTCTTCCATTAACTTGCAACTTAATATTATCCCTGGGCATGAACCAAATGTGCAGGAGGGTGTCATTGTAAATTTGAAATCTTATTAACGTTTCTCAAGCCTGCTAATATTCTTTTTGAATATATGTCTCCTACGACTATTATTTTTATTTTGTATAATTAAAAGGTTTCTCTTTAAGCCCTCTTACTATTTAGCTTTGCAATTTTTCTCTTTAACATCTTTCATCATTATTATTCAGTCTGTAAATTGTTATTATGTTCTCATAAACTACCCTCTTTTCCTTATTTCTCTTCTTTTTATACTCAACCCTTCCCCCATCATTCTGTTAAATTAGGATAATAGTACTTAAAATTCAGGTCTCAGTTTCAGTCTGGACTAACATTATATCACATGAATATAAAAATAAATGATCTCCATATTTACTTTTCCTAAATCTTCTTCCTAGAATGAATACATGGGAGTCACGGTTCTTTATTCTATGTTAAACATTCAACAGTATAACAGGGTCCTATTTTCAAAAGCCACAAACAAATGCAACATAAGAGGAAAAGTAATTAAAAATTTCACATAGTCTCAATTTACTTTAAAGAATTAGTTTCCAGACCTCTTATATATATATACATATATATTTTTCAGCCTGGCTTGTAGAATCTTAATTCCTTGACCAGGGACTGAACTCATGGCCTCAGCAGTGAAAGCACCAAGTCCTAAAAACTGAACTGCCAGGGAATTAAAATATTTTCTTACCCCAATGGGATGGCTCCAGGACAGTGAAAAATGCTGAAGGAGGCACAGGAACCACTTCGGGCCCTGGTAGGAGGGCCCTGCATTAGCCTCGTGAGGGGTGGGCCCAGTGGAGATGGACATGGGTGGGGGAACATGAAAGTTAACTTCTGGGATGGAACTGAAGGGCCTGATTACTGGCTGCATCTGAAGACAGTGAGGAAAATGGGGTGTTCAGGAGGGCCCCAGGGTTTTGGCTTCTGCAACCAGGTGGATAGATGGCAGTTCCATTCCCTGGAGCAGGAAACACGGTGGGGGCTGGGCAACATCACATATGTATGTTGCTTTTGCATGTATGTGCGTGCCAAGTCACTTTAGTCGTGTCTGACTCCGTGTGGACTCTCTATGGACTGTAGCCCGCCAGGCTCCTCTGTCCATGGGATTCTCCAGGCAAGAATACTGGAGTGGGTTGCTGTGCCCTCCTCCAGGGGATCTTCATGACCCAGGGATTGAACTTGTGTCTCTGATGTCTCCTGCATTGGCATGTGAGTTCTTTACCACTAGCGCCACCTGGAAAGCCCACATTGCTTTTGTACACGTACACAATTTACTAAGCTAGGCACGCCAGAATGGAGAAGGCAACGGCACCCCACTCCATTACTCTTGTCTGGAAAATCCCATGGATGGAGGAGCCTGGTAGGCTGCCGTCCATGGGGTTGCGAAGGGTCAGACACGACTGAGCGACTTCACTCTCACTTTTCGCTTTCATGCATTGGAGAAGGAAATGGCAACCCACTCCAGTGTTCTTGCCTAGAGAATCCCAGGGACTGGGGAGCCAGGTGGGCTGCCGTCTATGGGATCGCACAGGGTCGGACACGACTGAAGTGACTTAGCAGCAGCAGGAATGCCAGAAAGTGGCTTTATGTAGCTAGGTAAATTAAGGTGTTCGTCATCTAGCTTGCTAAATCCCATAAATACTGGCTTTTACAATTTTAATGCTTCATTGAAAGTTTAACCCATGACTCTTTAGCCCCAGTGCTTGGGAGAATACATCACCCTTTCTTGTTGGTGGCCATGTCTAACCCTACTTAAAGTCTGGAAATGTTTTTGAAGTTTCCTGCTCTCTGTCTCCCAGAAGCCTAAGCCCTTCTTCTTCTGTCTCCCAGCCTGGAGCAAATTCTCTACACCCACCTGTTCCAATTCTCTGCATATTCCAAACAACTATTAACTTCCTTCTAATGGGAACTTCCTCCCTGATTAAAGCTCACACACTTACATTTCTCTCTTCTCATTCCTTTTTCCTCCCCTCCCCTTTCTATATTTGTCTTCTCCTCCTTCCCTATTGAGCTTCCTTGTTCATCTTGTCCTCTTTCTTGTCTTCCTATCCCCCAGTTACTCTCTCTGAACCACGATAATGCCAATATCACCAACTCTGATCTCCAACCACAGGCCTAAGAGTCTACTTCAGCTTTCTCAGATGAAGGGTAACATGACACTGCATTTACTTAAGGAAGGAAGTGCGATTCTCTATTAAAAGAGATTTTTGATTATTTAAAAGTAACAAAACTCACCTCTTCTTCTGTAAGAGTTGGGTCTTCTTCCCGGGACTTGTATGACAATGAACTAAGTCTCTGTTAGAACAAAATAAATCAAGAGAAGGGAGTTTAAAGTCAATAATTTAACCTTTTTTGGGGCATATGCTTTAATGCATCTATCTACAAAAATGTTTTTAAATGATTTTTAGAGAAGAAACTATTTTCTACAGAGAAATTATATAAAGGACTTCAGGAATAAACACATAAGTATGATTTTATATACCCACCAGTATTACATTAGATAAACCAAATGATTATGAAGATTACTGTTTCAATTCCTAATTATCACTGAAGGACTGATTATCAATGAAAGACTGAAAAACTGACTGAAAAAATACCATGGTGTTTGTCAAATCCCTAAATTTTTTATTTCTACAGTTTGCATGAGTCATCACGAAGATTCTTAAGTCATCTGGAAACTTTAAACAACTAGTGGAGAAATCAACTCACATTTTCTGGCCTCATTTCTTGATGATTCTGGCTCTGGGTTCATTGAATCTTGAGCACCTCTCCTGCCTGAATTCTTGCTGATTTCAACCAACCTGTATCCTTCCAAACCTGCCCCCACTCCGTGACCCTCCTGCACTGACCATGTGTCCTTGCCCCACCTTCCTGCTCAGTCGGCACCTCAGACCCCTCTTACCCTAAACCACAGCAGCCCCACCATCCCATCTCCCGGCAGGCCCCTTCAGACCAGCACTCAGTGTTCACGCCTACTCCTCCCATAACCCAGTTCCAACAAGCCTGCAAAACTGTGGGGCCCCCAACCATTTTTTCCCATGTCTCACTTCTCAGGGTCCTTCCTTCCCACCCTGTCAAACTGCAGCTCCACGGCCAGCCATCACTGTCATACTTTAAGTACCCACTCCCGTCCTGGTCATGGGAGAACTCACCCCTCAAGTGAGTCCTTAATGCTGCTCTCAATCTTCCTACACCTGCTAGTAACCCCGGCCCCTAGCTCTCCTAGCTGCCTTCTTCACGTCTTCTCCTCTCTCCCCGAACCCCCAACACCTCATCCATAGCTGAGGACCTTGAGAAAACTGAAGGAATCAAAAGAAATTTCTATAAACTTCTGCCTCCCCCATCACACTCCCAGTCTCTGCATTCACGCGTCTTCCTTCCTGCCGGTTGCCACAGGTGAACTTTCCAGGCTCCACCTTAAGCCGATCCCTTCCTCCTGTGCGGGAGACCCTGACCCCTTACACCTACTCATGGATATAAGCGCCAGCAACCCTCCATTCTGTCTACATCAACTTTCGCCTCTGTGGAGTCATCCTCATCCACATAAAAACAGGCTATAATTTATCTATTCTAAAACCCAAACCAAACCAACCCACCCTTCTAGTTCTATTACTATTTCCATTACAGCAAGACCTCTTAAAAGAGTTGTCCAAAAAAAAAAAAAGCATTCAATTTTTCTCTTCCTATTCTCTCTCTAAACCCATTTCAGTCCAGTTTCTGCCTCCTACCAAGGACACTGATGCCCACCGTGTCCCTGCTCTCTCCTGACCCACCTGCTGTGTGTGCTGCAGGGTCACCCCTTCTTCCCTGAACATTCACTCCTTGGCTTCTAGGACACTGAATTTTCCTGTTTTTCTCTCCTATTTTCCTCTCTCCTGCTGGCTCCTTTCTTTCCTGGACCTGTGTCCTTGGAACTCTTAAAGTCCCCATTCACACACACTCATGCAGTGATCTCACCCAATGTCAGCTTGAAAAAGCTAATTTCTGCTGCTGACTTCCAAATGTACAAGCCCAGCCCAGGCCTATCCTCAAAAGCCTGCTCCTCCATCCGGCTGTTCTCTGATGTTGCTACTTGGATGACCAATACCTATCCCAAACCAGTATGTCCAGCCCCGAACTCCCAAATTTGCTTGGCCCATGGTCCTTCTACTTCAGTTCATGGCAGTCCCACACTTTCAGGGACTCAGGCCACACCCTGGATTCATCACTGTTTCCTCAAACTTTCATCCACATCTGGCCCATCGACAAATCTCCTGGTTCTAGTTTAGTGTCTCCCATTACTTCTGCTGCTCCTACCCTGATCCAACAAGAGTTTTTTGTCTTGCTTATTAGAATGGCTACCCAACTGGTCTCCTTGCTTCCATTCTTCACAGGTGAACGTCAACTCCATCAGAAGGATCCTTCTTAAAGCCAGAAGAAGTCATCCTTCTGCTTGAGGCTTTCAAGCAACCCATTTTATTCAGATTATAAGCCAAGGCCATGCAGGGTTGGGCCCCCAGTTATCTCTCTTCCAACTGCTCTCAGCCTTGCTCTCTCCTCTCCAGCCACACCTATACCCTCCTCGTCCCTGGAAAGGCTGGGCCTTTATACTGGCCGTTCCCTCTACTTCATTTGCTCTTCCCCAAAACATGAACTCTCTGAACTCCTTTTAATTTTTTGTTCAAATGCCCCTTTGAACAAAGGCAGCATGCCCTGATCACTCTCCTCACAACTGTGCTCCTACCCAACTTTCTCAGTCCCCCAGATTCTTTTCTGATTTTTTTCCTTTATATTTTAAAGCCTTCTAAGATACACTTTTGTTGTTTAGCCACTAAGTCGTGTCTGACTCTTTTTGAACCCATGGACTGCAGAATGCTAGGCTTCCCTGTCCTTCATTATCTCCTGGAGTTTGCTCAAACTCATGTCCATTGAGTCAGCGATGTTATCTATATAATATATATGTATATATGGGGCTTTCCTGGCTGCTCGGACGGTAGAGTCTGCCTATAATGCTGGAGACCCAGTTTTGATCCTTGGGTTGGGAAGAGCCCCTGGAGAAGGAAATGGCAACCCACTCCAGTATTCTTGCCTGGAAAATCCCATGGACAGAGGAGCCTGGTGGCCTACAATCCATGGGGTCGCAAAGAGTCGGACATGACTGAGCAACTTCACTTTATATATAGGTATATATATAAAAAATATATCTTACTTACATACCTATTTATGTCTTTATCTCCTAACTAAAATGTAAGCTGCACAGGGGTAGAGATTTTTGTTTATTTATATGTTTGTTCACTAGTGCATTCCCAGCACCTAAGATCTTGCAGCTTACGGTGGAAAAGCTCATTAAAATCTTTTTGCAAATGAATGCATGAATATTAAGCATTTCAAGTTCTCCCAATCACTTAAAATGAGAATGGTTTATATGGAAATGATGGATCATTCATCCTTATATTCCTACAGAAAGGTAATCTGGTTTCCCAGATGGATATTTCCAGTTTCTAATGTGACAGCTGGAGAATTGCTTACTTGGCAGTGGTTAGACAATCAACTCTCTTATCTATCAACTGCTTGTAAGTAAAAAAAGGTTTAACTGTTTTAAGCAGCATAAATTTCACATTAGTTTTATTATCTTTGGTTATACAAAGGGCAAAAAATTGAGCTGCATTTTTGCCTTTAATGAACATGCTCATAAACACTTCACTGGTGTTATCAACAGCTTACTTCATGGGCAACATGAAAAGCTGAAATACATTCAGAGACACTATTCAGAATGACCCCTTGGAACAAGGCTTCCCAAGTGACTAGTGGCAAAGAACCCACCTGCCAATGCAGGAGACAGAAGAGACGCAGGTTTCAGCCCTGGGTCGGGAAGATCCCCTGGAGGAGGGCATGGCAACCCACTCCAGTATCTTTGCCTGGAGAATCCCACAGACAGAAGAGCCTAGCCAGCTACAGTCTATGGGGTCGCAGAGTCAGACATGACTAAAGCGACTTAGCATGCACATATAACCCTAGCCGGGGTTCCTCTTTTGATCAGGAACCCCACAAGCTTTCTAAGGCTGCTTTTGACTGACTAGCCCCTACTTGGCCTTCCTACCGAAACCTGGACTCCCCTGGTGGCTCAGATGGTAAAGTGTCTGCCTACAATGTGGGGGACCTGGGTTCAATCCCTGGGTTGGGAAGATCCCCTGGAGAAGAAAATGGCAACCCACTCCAGTATTCTTGCCTGGAAAATCCCATGGATGGAGGAGCCTGGTAGGCTACATTCCACAGGGTCACAAACAGTTGGACACGACTGAGCGACTTCACTTCACTTCACTGAAACCTGAGAAGAGAAGCCTACTGTTGTCTCTGCAGAGAACGGAAAATCCCAAGGTAATGCTGACAGCTGGAGATGAGAATTCCAAGCTACTGTGGCTCAGATGTCAGCTTATGGGACACACAGAGAGAAGGCTCAGGGATTCTTACTGCATTTTAGAGCTCTACTGGACATCTAAACTTAAGAGCCACACAGGTTATTGCTTAGAAATTGTCATAAAATAAAATCTCTTACTTGACTCCTATAAAAGTCTATATACATTACCAGGTATGCCCGGCAGCACCTGCGGGCTTGTTCCTGGGCTCTGATTTCTGAGACCCCGGGAAAAGGGGCGGGGATCACCCCACTGCTTGGGATGGCGACAAGCAGAAGAGGCTAAATGGGCAGCTAAGTCTCCTCTTTCTAGTTCCTGGTCTTCAAAATGAAGAAAATAATACTTGGCCCCAATTAGACGATGCAAAAACTGGAAAATATTCAAGGTGCCAAGACAGAAATATTTTGTAAACATGAGTTTTCAGTATTTTATTACTTGGAGGGATAAAAAAATTCAAACACAGCTTACATGAAAACAGCCTTTATCATTTAATGCACACGAAGTGTGTATTTCTTAAAATACTGTGCAAACAAATGCCCCAGGTTTAGCTAGATTCCCAATTGGGACAAAAACTCTGAAACAAAAGTGCAGGAGCCCACCTTGTTGGTTTCACTGGTCCCCTCCGCAGCTCCCTCTTCTCTTGCTTGACTCTCTTCCTTCTGAAGGTTTTCATTTTCGTCTAGGAGTTTCACGGGGACAGGAGGAGGGGCCTCCTCTTCTGGATCACACGAATTTCCAAGAAGAATCTCTGCGTTGACGCTTTGTCGACACTTTTTGTTTCTGTCCACGGAGGCATACTCAGCAAAGTCTGTTCTGCTGTTGGCCTGCGGCCCCGGAAGTTCTTTCACACCAGAAGTCAATTTTGACTTGCCGCTGTGGCCTCGACTCGGCTGGGCAGCTGCCGTCACCTCCTTAATTTCATTCACGGTTTCATACAAGCAGTCTTCCACCATGTTTTCTTGCGAGGAACTATCCTTGAGCACTTCATAGGGTCCTTCCATCCCCAGACCCTGGTCCCCATCCGCACTTCTGCCATTGTGCATCGTGTCCACTGAGCTCTCAGGGGGAATTCTGGGCAACTCTCGGCTTTGATGACATTTTGGCTTCCCTGTGCTGTCCTGGGAGTCCAGCAGATCCGAAGCTGAGGTCTGGACTTCCTCATAATGTTGCATGCAGGTCACCGTGCTGTCTTCTGAAAGAACTAAAGCAGCAGGAGTATTAAAAATGGAGAAAGACGCTTCCTTATAGAATCATTACAGTGACTTGGATAATGTCAAGTGAGGTGAAATTAAGCTACTGACTTTTTATTTGACTTGAGGTTACAAACTGTACATGATGTAACTGTTAGTGGAAATCTGGGCTTCCCTGGTGGCTCAGATGGTATAGAATCCGCCTGCCAATGCAGGAGATGCAGGTTCAATCCCTGGGTTGGGAAGATCCCCTGGAGAAGGGAATGGCCACCCACAACAGTATTCTTGCCTGGAGAATTCCATGGACAGAGGAGCCTGGTGGGCTACAGTCCATAGGGTCGCAAAGAATTGGACACAACATCTGGGGAAACTGATAATGGATCTTCTGATCTGTGAAGTTATCACAACCACCCACTGTGTTTTGCCCTCTGGATTTAGACATCTGCGTCCTGGTAGACAGAGAACCATCACTGGCATCTGAAGACATGGTGTCAATCCTGACTGCCCCACGGTTTCCTGGTCTATAAATGGAGGTAAGAAGAGGATTTGCTATTTCAGGTGAAAGCATTCTGTAAACTGCACCATACAAATGTAGTTGTGACTTCTGTCAGAATTCACATCAGGCAGTGAGCGTGTAGACGGGGTGCCTAGGACTCAGATCAAAGGTTCACATTACAGATCCTTAGTGCATAGCCCATAAGATCTTAGGCAAGTTAATAACTTCTTCGTGCCAGGCAGAATAATGCACCCCTACGTGCCCGCGTCCTAATCCCTAGATTCCGTGAATGTGCTTCGTTACATGGCAAGGGAGGAATTAAGGACAAGGATAAACTAACTACCTGTTGACCTTGAGATGGGGAGGAACCTGGGCATCCAGGTGGGCCCAGTGTAACTGGGAGGGTCCTTATAAGTGAAAGGGGCTTCCCTGGTGGCTTAGACAGTCAAGAATCTGCCTGCAATATGGAAGACATGGGTTTGATCCCTGGGTGGGGAAGATCCCCTGGAGAAGGAAATGGCAACGCACTGTAGTATTTTTGCCCTGAAAATACCATGGACAGAGGAGCCTGGTGGGCTACAGTCCATGGGGTCGCAAAGAGTCAGACAGGACTGAGTGGCTAACGCCTGTGAGTGAAAGGGGCAGGAAAGCCTGAGAGGGGCTTGACGATGGAGAGAAAGGCCTGGACCAACGAATGTGGGCAGCTTCTAGAAGCTGAAGCAGGTGAGGAACCAGATTCTGCCCTACAGCCTGGGGAAGAAACGCTGCCCTGTTGCTACTGGGCTGGACAATACTTACAGATGTTAGTCCAGGGAGACCCGGTTCAGACTCTGATACCCAGACTGTAAATTAATCTGTGCTGTTCTCAGACACTAACTGTGGTAATTTGCTGCAGCAGCAATTAATGTCCTCATCTGTAAACTGAGGACAGTAATAAATTCCATCTTACAAGGCAGGACTAATACTAGTAATAGTAATCTTTTAGGGTAATAGTAATCTTACAGTTGTTAGCATACATGAGTTCATAAACGTACAGATCTTAGAGCTATGGCACACAGCAGCCAACTCATAGATACTAACTTTTCATCCAAATGAGATTATTTTTGCTAAAACTGGCAGTAATACAAAAGGAGAGCAAGAACATATTTCCTAGTTTTTTCAAGCTACATTTTCTTTTTTCAGGTGTGAACGGTTTATTGAAAGGTATAAGAAATACAGTGGATAAGGTAGCCAATAAAGCCTGCATTGATAAACCAGCTTCAAATATGTGACTGGAGCCAAATCCTGCAGGAAAAGTCTGGAAAAACAGAGCAACAAACAGGCCTACGAGTTATCTCAGCCACGGGACAAGGGACCCCTCCTTGTACCACTCATCGGTGAAGGGCTGACTTGGGGAAGATATTAATTCCCAGGTACTTCCATCCAGATCATGCAGGCAAGTGGGGTTCTAGCAGTTTTGCCGGCAGGAGCAGAGCTGGTATTATAAAGAAATGATGATGGTAACTGCAGTGGTGTTCTGAGCTACATTTTCTGACCTTTCTGAGCTACATTTCTAGTCCTTTCGCAGGTAATGAGGCCTGCCCACAGCTGGAGCTGTGGCAGCACTTACTGTCTCCATTGGTGAGAGCTCCGTTCTGCTCGCTGCTGGGGGGTGCATCTGTGGCCAGGCTGGTGACAGAGCGGCTGAACATCTCCTTGTCAGAAGGCTGCAAGAACAAAGGCACCAAGCGAGTCAGACTGCAGGGCAGAGGGGAATAGCCACGCCTTTTTGTTGTTGTTTTATTTATATTATTCATTTGGTCAAACTGCACAGCCTGTGGGATCTTAGTTCCCCAACAGGGATTGAATCCCAGCCCTTGGCAGTGAGAGCGTGGAGCCCTAACCCTGGACCACCAGGGAATTCCCTCCATGGCTTTTTCTAAAAATTAAAACAGCAGCAACAAAACCCAAATCTGCTACTTAGATGCAAATTAAGTGAAATAAAATGAAATGGAGTTCCTCAGTTGGACCAGCTGCATGTCAAGGGCTCAACAGCCACACGTGGGTCGCGGCCATTCTGTCAGTGCAGCTGAGCTATCTTGGTGAAAGGTTCTATTGGACAGAGCTGTCCTGAGAATCTTCCGAGGCTGCCACCCACAGAGCTTCCCTTCCCAGATCATAAATGGGGTATAGTAGGTCGTGGGGAGTCAGTCTCTTAGCTCAAGGCAAGGCAGGACGGGGAAGCGCCAGGGCTGATCAGAATCAGCTCCAGCAGACAGCAGCCTCATCTTTCTCCCAGAGATGCTGGAAATGTTACCGTTTTCAAGGAGTGTCACGCTGAGGAAAACAAGGGAAAATATCACCTCTGTCATCTGAAGGGAAGAGACTTAAATCTGATCAAAGATAAATGTCACCGACATCTGAGATGTTCATAATCAGCCAAGTCTCTGCTTGAAGGTTCACAAAAACTGTTGTATGCTAAAACTTCGGTCTGCAAACCTTCATTATTCTCACGAACAAATTCAGGACCGTTGGGGGGAAGAATGGCATTGATCATTTTCCACTGGGCTTATCAGCATGAGTGGACAATACAGGGCATAATACGCAAGGCTGAGCAACAGTTGGAAGTAAGTTGCTAGATCACATACTTCTTGAAATATGCCACCTGTCTCACGTAGCAGCTGAATCACTGCTGATATGATCTGCTCCCCGATCCTGCTCATGGAGTGCGTGCGGGACCCAGGTGGCCACACTGGCCAGGCTCCAGAAGTCCACACAGGAAGTTCTGATGTAAATAGCACCACAACCTTGGCTACCTGGCTTCTCAAATTCTCTGACTCCTGACTGGCAACCAGGTAATAATAGCAGAGGGGGCTTCCCAGGTGGCTCAGTGGTAAAGAATACCCCTGCCAAGCAGGAGACACGAGTTTGATCACTAATCCAGGAAGATCCCGTGGAGGAGGAAATGACAACCCACTCTAGTATTCTTGCCTGGGAAATCCCATGGACAGAGGAGGCTGGTGGGCTATAGTCCAGGGTCGCAAAGAGTTGGACACAACTTGATGACTAAACCACAAAAATAATAACAGAGTATGGAGCTCACGCTCATCATGCTCCAGAAGCTTACAGGGAGTCAACTGTTTCAATCGCATGAAAGGGGACCCGCTTTCCCCTGGGTCACCCCTGGACCTGCATGTGGGTGAAGCTCTAGCAGAGGCACCACCTTCTCCCCCACCTACCTTCTGGGTACAGTCTAACAGAGGTGCTGGGGACAGGTGAGAAGTGGGGACACAGACAACCAGAGATTGCGGTAGGGGTAACAAAGTGAGGGTGAGAGACAGGGTGGTGATGAGAAGCCGGAAGAGGTGGTGGGTGAGCCGCCTGCACAGAGACAAAAGGAAGGATCCCCAGCGGCTCCTAGGAGAGGCCATCTGACCACTTTGTTGCCTGGGCTGGAAGAGTTTCCACATTCACAGGGCAGGGTGCCCGGGACTGGAGATGCCTGCTGTGGGGGGGGGGCTCGGAAGCTGACTGCTGGCTGCTTTTCTCATTCCAGACCTCACGTGACATCCCTCACTCTTCCATCCTTCCTCTTTGCCCCTTCTTCCTCTGACAGATTTACAGTTGTTCTTGAGAAATTACATCTAGGAGAGGAAGCATCTTTGCAGTTTTATCCTGTGTATATGAAGGCAGGGGCTTCCCTGGTGACTGAGCAGAAAAGAATCCACCTGCCAAACAGGAGATATGGGTTCAGTCCCTGGGTTGGGAAGATCCCCTGGAGGAGGGCATGGCAACCTATTCCGGTATCCTTGCCTGGAGAATCCCATGGACAGAGGAGCCTGGTGGGCTACAGTCCACGGGGTGGCAAAGAGTCAGACATGACTGACTCAACAACAACTTAGTGACTCAACGACAGCTTGAGGGTGGCCCATCCCCAGCTGTTAGTGTTGTTCAGCCAGTTAAGGGCAGAGGCCTGAGGGGAACAAGGTGGGACCAGGACGCTCAAGCTGCTCCCCACCTGGGTGGATCCCAGAGGCCCTTAGGGCTTGTCAGGGCCCTATAGGACACAGAGCAAGAAAACTCGGCCAGGCCATCTAGGATGCTGGGTCTCAGGCTCCTATGAGCTTACTGATCAGCTGTCATGGGTTGAATTTTCATCCTCCCCAAATTCCTGTAGGGAAGTCCTAACCCTCAATACTTCAGAACTGACCTCCTATGGACTCAGGGTCACTGCGGATGAAATAGGTTAAGATGAGGGATGAGGTCATATTAGAGGCCTTCTAAAAGGGGAACTTGGACAGACATAAACACACACAGAGGGAAGATGGTGTGAAGAGTCACAGGGACAGATATGACAGTGAGAGCAGAGTCTTCAAACCAAGTATCGCCAAAGGCAGGTGCTTCCACCACTGGAAGCTAGGAGAGCAGCCTGGAACACACTCACCCTCAAAGCCTGCTGCTACTGTGATCTTGAATTTCTAGCCTCCAGAACTGAGATGATAAACTTATTATTTAAGCCACTCAGCTTGCGGTCCTTTGTTATGACAGCTGTGGCCAACTAATAAACCGCCTGGAGCTGGGCAGAGGCGAAACAGAAAGATCCCTGCGGTAAGCTGGAACTATCTGAGCATCTTTCGAGCAGTGGTTGCAAAGAGCCGGACACAACTGAAGTGACTGAGCACGCACACACGCCAGCCACGGGGAAAATAAATCTGCAGCATGAGGGCACAGCCCAGCAGCCAGTTAACTCTGGCTGAGTTGCTTCCCTCAGCTTGTGAGCTTGCAGGGACCTGCTGAGAGAAGTGGCTGATGTCTTAAAGTGCACATGTGTGCGCACACACACACACACACACACGTGCATGCATACTCACCACGTTCATCAGGTTCTCATGGTCCCCGCTGTGTGGTCTTGGCTTCTTTTCTCTGAAACAGAAAAGGAAACATGGCTATAATATCCAACGTGCCACCTAAAATCAAATAAGATCAAATATCCAAACTGTATCAACACTTCAATCTCTCTTTGGATAAAGAACCAAGTTTATTTCGCTGAGAAACCAGAAGCCAGACAACTTACCCCTCCTCTGCAGGTGGCAGGGTCTGAGGGGGTCAAGTCCTAGCAAGGGGCTGGCCAGCTCTCTTGCCTCCACTTCCTCCAGGAGTAGAAAATACAAGTTAACAAGAGGACGGGGGCAGTTTCCTGAGTAGGAGCTGTTTATATCTAGAATACTGGGATGATTTCTTTCTTTCTTTCTTTCTTTTTTTAATTTTTAAGGAAGTCCAGACAATTCTCACATCTTCATTTTTCTTAATTCAGTCTTTGCAAAGTCACACACTGCCAGGGGATTGAGAAAATAAAGAAAATACAACTTTTGGCTTGTTGGGAAGGGTACATGCTCTCAGGATGAGTCATGTGTACTTCCAGACTATGGAAAAGTCCATCCAGTAAAAATAGAATTTATTTTTACTCAGGACAGGCTAAAGAAAGCCATCAGTACTAGAGGTTACCTTTCCCATAGATGTACAAGGCAAGAGTGACACCTAGCGGGAGCGTAAATAATTACAGAGGCAGGCCGTCCCGGGCCCAGGAGACGCTCCTCTCCTCTCGGGTCTTATTTCTTCATCTTCCCGGCCAGCTGGTCTCTCTCCCAGCTCAGGAGACCTGGGTCCGAACTGGCAAGGACCCTGGCACTACTTGAGTTCAGGGACTCCAGATTTTCTCTTTTCGACAGAGACTTCTGCGCAGGAAGCCATATACGGACTTTTAAATGACACTTGGCGACTCTCTTCCAAGGTTATTGAGGAGAGGGTTGGCTGCCAGCTGGTCTTCACTGGCTGCTCCAGTAGCAGCCAATTTACCAGACAGCGGCATATGTCATAACAATGCTGAACACCTGGAAAATCACTCTGGCTTCGGAAGGACTCTGCTTCTCCCCAACCTAAGATCTCCCTTTTTTTTTTTTTTTTTTGGTGGGAGGGTTACACATTTTATATGAAGGAGTTGAGAGAGAGAGAAGTACAATTCTAAAATAAGATAAGATGGTTATTTCATGCACAGAATATTTCCCTTTTAGAAAAATCTGTTTCTTAAGAAACTGCAGTTCTAGATTACAAATCTTTAATAAAATGACCCCTCCACAGCTACAGAGCAGCAAAAATTCTCAGTAACTCTCAAATGGTAGCAAAAAAGAGTGTGTTTAATATACATCGTACTTAGATTTCCAAATGTCCACAGATGGAAAAAGACAATATAAATTTAGACATGGGTATGCTCATGAGAACAGCAAAAAGTTCCTTCTGGAAAGTTTCATATATAAGGTCTTTCATATATAAGGTCTCTTCCAGTTGCTCCCCAGGAAAACCAAATATGGCCTTTCATTGAGCTAATAAAAAGTGTCCTGGGCCGGCCCCTTTGCAGGAGAGAAGGCAGTTAATCATAGGAGTGTCTGTGAACGTCTATGCAGTGGGATGCCATCCATCACAGGCTTTTTAATACAGAAAGTCTTCTGGGTCCCAGGAACGTGTTATTTTAAGGCTCCAGTAGACAGACGTCACTCTCACCTGTCGCAACTGGAACACAGAAAGATGAGGAAGGTGATGAGGAAGAAGGTGGCCACAGATGCCAGGCTCCCCAAGAGGATGATCTGTGTTTGTCCCTCGATCAGCAAGCTTCCCTCGGATCCCATGGTGGGCGCGGGGAGTGGCACGGGCTGCTGGGGTCAGTCAGTCCTTCCAAGGTGGCGACATGGGGGCAGAAGGCGGTGTCCTCCTGCAGAGAGAACAGCGAGTGTTTTGACAACTTCTGACGAGAGGTGCTAGAATCTGGTAGCAAGTTCCGGTGGGGGAGGGGCTAGATGGGAGTTGGGGTGGGGGCGAGTCTGAGCAGAGCAGGGAGGTGTGTACAGAATGCACTGGACTCGGCCTGAAACAAGTACCCCTCTGTGGTCCAGGCTTTTGTTTTCTCACCCAAAATGCAAAGCAGGAGTGTGCAGTGCCTAGCTCTGTGTTTGAGGGCAGAGATGTTATTTTTGTGTGTTTGGGGGATAGATTCTTAATCTTTTCAAGGAAGACTCCAAGTCTTTTTAATTATTATTTTTCACCTTTAAATATTTAAATAAATGCAAAATGTTTCACCTGGAGAAAATCTGTTGAAAAATAAACAAGAAATAAATACACGTGTATTTGGATTCCTTTTTTCCACAGAACACTGTAAACCGTTTATTACCGCTTTCACAAAAACGTAGTTTGCAACTTCCCCACTTGAATCCTCAACTCCCCAAGCCTGCTTCTCTCCGAGAAGGTTTAAGGTCAATACAATTAATGACATAGATAGTCTTTATATTCACCATGAGAAACAGTTATCTGTTCCGAGCCTATGACCTTATTTTTCAGGGCTGGCTTTCATGAAAGTTTGTGAGCATTCAGTAAGTCTAATTTCCAGACACTGGAGGAAAGTCTGTGCTGAGAACACATCACCAGCAGCAAAGAAGCGTAGTGATAAACAACTACAAACTGAACCTAAGAGCTGTTGCCAGGACATTGTGGTACCCGGCACATGGGGGCTTCCTAGGTGGCGCTAGTGGTAAAGAGCCCATCTGCCAAGGCAGGAGATGTAGGAAACTCAGGTTCGATCCCAGGGTCAGGAAGATCCCCTGGAGGTGGGCATGGCAACCCAGTCCAGTATTCTTGCCTGGAGAATCCCATGGACAGAGAAGCCTGGTGCGCTACAGTCCATAGGGTCGCAAAGAGTCGGACACGACTGAAGTGACTTAGCACACACGCAGTCAAGTGTTTTCCTCATTCAATCGCTGACACTAGCCTGCGAGGAAAGCATGCCCAACTCCCATTTTTCAGACAAGGAAGCTGAAGGTCAGGCACTAAGTCCCCCTGCGGTGTCCTCAGGCCCAGCGGCAGTGGAGGAGCGGAGTCCGCCAGCTCTGACTCCGGCACTTGTGGCCTCTGCCCCTAGAGGGCGCTCCTTCTCACTGGGGGCTATTGCGCCCAGGTCCAGTGAGTTACAAGGCTTCTAAACGAAAACAGCCAATGAGCTTTGTGAAATATTTTAAGATTTAGATTTTGAAAAATAGAGCACTATTTCAAATGAATGATTTGCTTTCTCATCAGAGATGCCTTGTTTAACGAACATTTGCTTTGTTCAACTCTAGAACATTTCTCACTTACACAGCCTTAGCTTCATTCTCAAGTTATGTGAATAAAGTCAGCAAATAAATATTTGTGTCATGACAATTCATCAGAAATCAAAACACTTTTTAATAAAAAGGCTGGTTGATATTTGCATTTCCATTTGCTCCTTGACAGAGCTGGGCCTATGTAGCTAACCACTGAGCACCTACATCAAGCCTGCGCCTGGGCAGCTTAGGGAGTTCACTGTGGTTCAATGGGAGAAAATTTTCTCCAGGAGAAACATTTTGCATTTATTTAAATATTCAAAGGTGAAAAATAATAATTGTTTAAAAAGCTGGAGAAAAAGAAATTGTATCTGTTAAGTATGCAGAGAGAATTCTAGGAGATGAAGCTGACTGCTTTCTATATGGCCTTAAACCAACATGAACACGTCCTAAAGCTCCATAAATACATAAATGTACAACTTCCTGGGTAATAAAGGACCGCATTCTTCCTGTGTTGGTTATATATTATACCTGTGAACACTGCATGCATACTGTCATGGATGGTCACGTTGCCTTTGCCTGTTTGACCCTGGACAGCTATAACTGAAGAGCGCTTCTCTCATGATTCGTGGCGACAATGAAAAATTCACTTTAAACCTCAGCTACAAATTGGCACCAGAGTAAGTTATTAAAATACATTCAAGCAAGCATATAAATCAATAAATGTTTATATCCAGGTCCATGCACAGCACATTTTAAGAGGCACAAACAAATGAGATCTGTTATGCGGGCATTTGTGTGTTCCTTCTTTCATTTGCTCACTCATTCGTACAATGATTAATCAGTGTCTATTTATAAAGACCTAGATCCTTAGAAAATAGTTTCCTTAGTGAATTATTCAAAAGCCCCATATCCATCCAGCAAGCCCCTCTCTCATCTCTGTGCACGTTTCTCCTCTCAACAGGGGGAGGCGATAGAAGATAACATGGTGCTCCACCTCGCAGAGCAGTGTGGGGAGGAGAAGGATGAAAGCAGATTATTACCAGCGACTGAATAAAGGATGTAACTCACAGAAAATGTGTTAAAACTCCTGGCTCACTCCTCTCTCACTAGAATCTGCAGAAAAGCTACTGAAAGTAATACTTTTCCCAAAAGTTCTCCTGGTGCACACACACACAAAGGCACAGTGAAAAGAATGATCTGGTGTGTTTCTGAGTCAGATATCATAATACACTGTAATCCCCCAGTGCAAGGGCTCCGATTGTGTGGGCAGCTTTCGCCTCTCGGAAACTTCTGCGAGCAACTGAAGGAGCCACACAGGTCACAGCCCTGGTTGGGAGTGGGGCGGGAGTCCCTACCCTTGCAGGGGCCAGCAGTGTGTGTGGGAGGAGTCTACACATACATGACTTCCAGGTGGGATTATTCTTGTTTTAGAGAAAATCCACACCACTGTTAACTCTTGTCTCCTAGTCTCTTTATGGTCTTTTGTTTCCATAATTCTGCCCATTTCTTCTCTGGCCATCTCCTTAAATTCTGGTGGCTTATCTACTATTCAGACATGATTGCCTTCCCCCCATGGTTGTTCATGGACCGTGCTCTCTGGTGTGTAGACAGACTAGCTCTACCCCTCCCAGTGTGTGTAGATGGCCCATTCATTTCCCGTATGTGTAGATGCACATGTTTGGCTTCCATGTTCCTCTTTCCCAGTGGGGATGAGAGTGGAAGCCCTGTGCTAATGGTCCGGGGCTTTCCAAGAAGTGGCATGGACTTTCCTGCCCAAGGCTGGGCCCTCACACACTGGTTTCACTGAGCTTAAATGCAGTGCGCAGGGGTCTTCATGAAGTTCATCGTGAGCAGTGGAGCCATCCACATCCTCATCAAAGGTTGAAGGTTTCTCTCAAGAGTAGCGACGGGGGAAAGAAAACAAGGCACAGCGTCCGGGAAGTAAGGAGCCACCCTGAAAAGGAAGGGCCCCCCAAGGAGTGAGGGTTTCCTATACCTCACACTCTTCGCCAGGGTCCACGTGGAAAAGCTAGTCCAAGGCTGATGCTGTCACTGGTCTTGGGGACCAGCTTTTCTGCGTGTGTGTTTAGTCACTCAGTTGTGCCTGACTCTTTGCAATCTCATAGGCTGTAGCCTGCCAGGCTCCTCTGTCCATGGAATTCTCCAGGCAAGAATACTGGAGTGGGTTGCCATTCCCTTCATCCAGGGGACCTTCCTGACCCAGGGGTTGGACCCAGGTGTCCTGCATTGAAGGTGGATTCTTTACCATTTGATCCACCAGGGAAGTCCACGGGGAACAGTTTCAGTTCAGTTGCTCAGTCATGTCCGACTCTTTGCGACCCCATGAATCGCAGCACACCAGGCCTCCCTGTCCATCACAAACTCCCGGAGTTTACTCAAACTCATGCCCATCAAGTCGGTGATGCCATCCAGCCATCTCATCCTCTGTCGTCCCCTTCTCCTCTTGCCCCCAGTCCCTCCCAGCATCAGGGTCTTTTCCAATGACTCAACTCTTCACATGAGGTGGCCAAAGTATTGGAGTTTCAGCTTCAGGATCAGTCCTTTCAATGAACACCCAGGACTGATATCCTTTAGGATGGACTGGATGGATCTCCTTGCAGTCCAAGGGACTCTCAAGAGTCTTCTCCAACACCATAGTTCAAAAGCATCAATTTTTCAGTGCTCAGCTTTCTTCACAGTCCAACTCTCACATCCATACATGACCACTGGTAAAACCATAGCCTTGACCAGACGGACCTTTGTTGGCAAAGTAATGTCTCTGCTTTTTAAAATGCTGTCTAGGTTGGTCATAACTTTCAAGGAGTTAAGCATCTTTTAATTTCATGGCTGCAGTCACTATCTGCAGTGATTTTGCAGCCCCCCAAAATAAAGTCTGACACTGTTTCCACTGTCTCCCCATCTATTTCCCATGAGGCAATGGGACCAGATGCCATGATCTTAGTTTTCTGAATGTTAATCTTTAAGCCAACTTTTTTCCCCTCTCCTTTTTCACTTTCATCAAGAGGCTTTTTAGTTCCTCTTCACTCTGCCATAAGGGTGGTGTCATCTGCATATCTGAGGTTATTGATATTTCTCCCAGCAATCTTGATTCCAGCTTGTGCTTCTTCCAGCCCAGTGTTTCTCATGATGTACTCTGCACATAAGTTAAATAAGCAGGGTGACAATATACAGCCTTGATGTACTCCTTTTCCTATTTGAAACCAGTCTGTTGTTCCATGTCCAGTTCTAACTGTTGCTTCCTGACCTGCATGCAGGTTTCTCAAGAGGCAGGACAGGTGGTCTGGTACTCCCATCTCTTTCAGAATTTTCCACAGTTTATTGTGATCCACACAGTCAAAGGCTTTGGCATAGTCAATAAAGCAGAAATAGATGTTTTTCTGGAACTCTCTTGCTTTTTCGATGATCCAGCAGATATTGGCAATTTGATCTCTGGTTCCTCTGCCTTTTCTAAAACCAGCTTGAACATCTGGAAGTTCTCGGTTCACATATTGCTGAAGCCTGGCTTGGAGAATTTTGAGCATTACTAGTGTGTG